CCCCAAAAGCCCCCCCCCCCCTCCAGCCTTGAACCTACAACCTCAGGAATTCGATGACCTCTGTAATCTGATTTTTACAACTCCTCCCCCAGCCCCCTCGCCTTTGCAAGCAATCAATCCCACCCCCTCCTCCTCTGGCCTTTCTACCACATCCTCCCTGTGGTTCTTTTTTTTTTTTTTTTAAAGCCCATCCAAATTACTTCCCATTTTCAAGAGCGGACAACCTTTTTGTTTCACAGGAAAAAAAAAATACTAAAAAGTTTGGAGGGCGGGCAAATTTAAAGGCGCTGGGGATGGAATCAGTTTGAGAGAGGAAAGCGAATGTGTGCGAGGCAGGGCTGAGTGGGTGCTGTTCTCAGCTGACAGCCACCCAAGGAGCGGGAAGCAGGGAACCCTTGCCCCTCTGCGGCTGTCAGCTGCGTTTGCGTTTCAGAAGGGAAGGGAGAGACAGCCTGCCCGACAAAACTGGCAAGAATTTGTCCTGTTGTGAAGGCAGCCTAGATGTCTTGGAGCCTGACCAAAGCTCCCAGGCTGCCGGAAAGAGAAGATCAAGAGAGGTAAATAGCCCCAATTCCTTCCCACAGCACACACTATCCCACCCTTGGTGAGTTCTGAGGTTTACAGCATGGAGAAACACAGCAAATATCAAATTCAACTTCACAGATAGCATCCTGGGTCCTTAGTGAAGATGGGGGCGGGGGTGTAGCTCAGGGGTAGAGCGCTTGCCTAGGCCCTACTTTATCCGCCCCTCCCCCAGCCCCCAACAGTCAAGCAGTCAGTAGACCAGAACAACTGAGTCTCACAGAAGAAATGTTTGCTCAAATCCAATTAGCTGGAGATTGTGCATTTCTTGAAAGACAAGAGTGAGAGAGAAAAAAATATGTAATTGCCACACTGCACAAGAAAACTTAAAAATCGGGTAAGAGGAATGAGAGCGAGCTCAGGGAGGACAATGGCGGCCAGCAGGAGGCAGGAGGGATTTCACCTGAGTTTAGCAGGTGAAGCAGCCCAGCTTGTGACGGACACGTGTGTGGCTGAGGCTCTAAGCTCTGATGGTGGGGGAGGGTGGCCTGGTGTACTCTCGAGGAGGGAAAGCATCTTTTCTCAATAGCTTTGGTTTGTGGCCCCAAATCCAGACTGAATGGCTAACGTCAAGCAAACCGGGTCCTTTTCTCCCGTAAACGAGGGTCCCTTCCAAACCCGAGGCGCACCTAAGAAAACTGAGCCTGAGTGGAATGTGACAGCCAAGAAAACCTTCCCTAAGCTCGCATCCCCTCCTCCCTTCATTTTCCTTTCCAAGAAGCACTGAGTCGGAAGCCCCATTAATTACCACAGCATCTGAATTTAGCAACCAAAGGAAAAACAATGCCCAAAGGCCAATGCCAGCCAGTAGAAATAGAAGCCAAGCCACTTGTGAAACACTGCGTTTTCTTGTAGCCACATTAGAAATAATGAGGCCCTTAAAGCCACTTGCCACCAAGCCTGCCGACCTTAGTTCCATCCCCAGGACCCACAGAGTACCAGGAGAGAATCACCTCCACAAGGTTGTCCTCTTTTTTATCCTTCTTTTGTGTTTTTTGTTTGTTTGTTTGTTTTTTTGAGACAGGGTTTTTCTGTGTTGCCCTGGCTGTCCTGGAACTCTCTGTCCACCACGGTGGCCTCAAACTCAGAAAGATCTGCCTGCCTCTGCCACCTAGCTACCCAGTGCTGGGGTTCAAGAAGCCCACCCGCCAGGCTTGTTATTTGAATTTTGATTTCATTAAAATGACAGGCACAATAGCACACCTGCTGTCTTACCCCTCAGAAGAGCTCAATCCTGGGCTTCCTGCCTGTTCAGAAATGAACAAACTATAACAATTCCGTTAGTTTCTCAAGGCCAGTGGCCTCCGGTGATGATAAAGAACACGTAAGGTTCATGGTCAGTCTTGCAGCTTGTAGTAAGACCATGTCTGTCTCTTTCTCCCTATTGTTATTTCTATTTATAATGCATCAAAACCTCTCCTTTCCACTCTTGCCAGGGGCACAAAACTCTGGGTCTCCCACAGGCTGGGTTCTACTCTGGAGCCGGACCCCAGCCCTGCACTTTGTCTAAATTCCTTTTTGTCTTGTTCTCTCTTCTGGAAGCACAGGGATGATGCCACAAGGGTGGAAAGCAGCCAGGCTGCTCCCTGCACAGCCCCCTGCATCATCTGCCAGAGTCTGGTCCTTCTGTGCCTGCACTGACTGGAAGAATAAGTGAACGAATGGTGAAAGCCCAGGATTTCGCCTGTTCTCAGTTGATGTAGCTTTACACAGAGATAGTCTCCTGAGGGCTAATTTGTAGATGTTTAAGCCGGTAATGGAATTTTTTTTGTTTTTGTTTTTGGAGACAGGGTTTCTCTGTGGCTTTGGAGGCTGTCCTGGAACTAGTTCTTGTAGATCAGGCTGGCCTTGAACTCACAGAGATCCGCCTGCCTCTGCTTCCCGAGTGCTGGGATTAAAGGCGTGCGCCACCAACGCCCGGGAAGTTTATTCTTTTATCTGTATACTTTTTAATTGACCTGATACTGGTTCACAACCATCTATAATTCTAGTTCCAAGGGATCTGATGCCTTCTGACCTTCCAGAAGCTTCACATAAGTGGTACACAGACATACATGGAGGCAACCCACACATGCATTAAAAAATATTTTTTCTTT